ATGCACATAATTTTGTATTTTATTTATTTTTGAATTTTCATCCATATTTATATATCATATGGTAACAAATAATGTCTTTGAATTAAAAAAATGAATTTTTTTTATACCTATTTTATACTTTTTTAGAAATGGGGTCTGATAGACGCGACTATGAACGTTAAAAATAGGCACGCGCCTGCTAAAGGGTTAAAGAGTTATAAGTTATTTTAAAAAATAACTCATTCATTCTAGGCTACATGAAATTTCATTTTAAAAAATAAATTGTTTTTATTAAAACTTTTTTTTTAATTTCTAAACTGACAGTAATTAGAGCTTTTCTTAAAAAATATTTTATTGGATTAACAGCAATTCTAGGACAAGTACTTATTGAATTATAAGCTTTTTAATACACAGAATAATTATGTAGTGTAGTTGGGTGCAGCTCATACTACTGTATACAGGTCATCAGAATTCAATGAACTAGCAAATTTGTTGAAGAATAAAAATTTATACTGATAATTTTTTTTTTTTTGATTCCTTATGAATACACGTTTTTCAAAAGACGGTGTGACCGAGTCGGTAATGTGGCAGTGCCTGACACGCACTGTCTCGGGTTCAAAACTCGGTCACGGGCGGCTTCATTTGGTGAACGAGAGATCAGTTTGGTAATTGGAGTCGCCATCTCTTCTCCGCTGACGGACTAACCACTCGTTCCGGAGTATCAATGGCTTAAAAACCTTCTTCTTTAAAGGAGGCTGCTATGGTTCTTAATGGCTTATAAAGCGTTAAAAAAAACATGTTTTTCTTAATTTATCAATCATAAGGTATTTTTAAACTTTATACTTTATAAGGGTGTCAATTTATTTTTTCAAATGGTAAAATAATTAACTAAAATTTATTAGATAGTAATCTAATTAAGAAAATGACTGATCGAAAGCAACTTTTTGACAATTATTTTAGAAGTATTTAACAATTTATATTAATGACAGAAGGTGATGTGATTTATTACTAGACATTTCTAGGCCTCACTCATATTCCCATCTAAGTATAAAAACGTTAATGTTAAAAAAAGTCTCATAAAACTCAAGAAGAAAAAAAATTAGTTTAGTTGTATAATTATAACTTATAGCATATTAAAATAAATTTCCATATTTACTTTATAGTCAGATAGAAAAATTAAATTTTTATCGAGAAACTTTAAATTATCTTTATAAAAAATTAAATTAAGTAAATTACAAACTTGTAGAGCTCTGTATGGTTCGGTTTGAACCGGTTCAGTCTTATACTTCAAATAATAAATTGGTCCGGTCCTAGTTGGTCTGTAGTTAAAAATCATCGGTCCTTTTTTTGACGGTCCCTTAAAAAGTTCATCGGTCCAGTTTTGGTCTTTAAAAGAATTCAAGGATCCGGTCTCGGTCCATCTTCAAATTGAGATAATAGTCCACTTTTAATAGCAGTATATTATTATAAATATATTTGTATTATTGTTTTTAGTAGAAACTCGCGTGTGATATAATAAAAAAAAATCATAATTTTTATCGTAATAGGTTTAAATTGTTTTCATTATAGTGAACGATGATAACACTCACTAAAAATTAATACAATAAATGTCACATAAAAGCTGAATTCTTTCAAATAATGAACCACGTGCCAATAGAATTTCCAGGATTCTGAAATGTGATTTAATATCATAGTGCATAATGTATTGCTTTCTTACGCTGTCAATCGTTAAGTGTATTATATTATTTCATAGTTTTTCTGTACACTTTGGAATGAACTGATCGTTTTTATTGACTATAATTATGTCTAGACATAGAAAGGCTATTACTGCCCATTTAACATACAATATTATTTTAATTCAGTTAAGACTTAAAACCGTGTTTTTAAAGAATTACCCTTGTATTAATAACAATATTACATTATGCGTCTTTGTACATTATTTTGGATAAAATAAAGTTGGGAAATATCAACCAACATAATCATCTGGCTTTATTTCTTTATCATCAACGAAAGACGTCAGTTATTTTCAATCTGCCTGTAAGTATTTTTTTTTATAAAATAAATTTTTAATTATTTAAAAAATAATATAATAAAAATAAGCACATATGGTTTTTAAGAGAGATAGAAAATTATTTTGTTTTGTACAGCTTTATATTGATAAGTGTTAATTTTTTGTTATAAAATTAAACGTTACTCGTAAAATATTTATCGATGTAAAATAATATGCTAATAATAACTTGTTGAACCAAAAATTTCACTTAGACTAAATAAACTAATGGCTTTTACTTAACATTTTAAGTGAAAGTTTATTCAGATATATCGTAATAATTAACAATCAGTCATGATTTAATTACCCGATATGTAAGACAATATTTTTTTCTATTAAATAAATTTGATGGTATGAAAAAAATTGGGGTTGCCATTTGATATTCGAAATGGTAGCACAAAATTAAATTTTCGTTTAAATTGCTCAACAATGAATCGTTGATATATAAAAAAAAAATTATTAACAATAATAATTTCAAAGCTATTTCGTGAGGCATAGTTAAGAAATCATTCTGTATGTATAAACTAAATATGTTAAATTCTGTATAACACGAATTTGAAATTATTAGTTTACTCAAGGATATTTTTGAGTTATTGAATTTTCTTTATAGCCTATAAAGGGTGATTCATTAATCATAAATTATTAACTCAATTACACACAAAATAAAAAAACGGTAGCACAGTGGGGTCGCGGCATAGTAGAGACATTGCATAGTAGGGTCCAGTATAGATTTAATCTGACAGTGATTAAAATCACTATCATAAGAAACGCTTCGATGCAAATCTGTAGATAGTGTTTAATTTTAAAAAATTGATGGATAATTGCAAAAGCAACATCAACTTCTATTAAAATAAAATACAAAACCCATAATTATCATACAAAAATAGTATATTTTTCAATATGGTAGCCATTTGCGTATAGAAGATAGATCGTCGGGACAAATTTTTTTTTTTCATTTTGTAGTACATAAAATAAGCTTTAATTTTATATATGTTTAAAGGACGCAGTATTTCCGGAACATTTTCAAAAATTAAGTTGAAAAAGTTATTTTTTGTAAAAAAGTTACTATTTTAAATCCTCCCAGTGAGCAGAATAAGTGTTAGATTTTCAAAAAAAATTATATCAAATGAAAGGGAAATATCTAAGGTTTCAATACAAAAAAATATTATTTTTATTTGTTCATTTTTGAAAAAGTTATGGCAGTTTTAAGTACAAAAAACATCCCGATAAAATGTAATTTTTATCGCAAACATTACATTTTTTTTTAAATTTTCGACAGCCATTTGCACATAGAAGATAAGATGTCGGGACAAATTTTTTTTTTTCATTTGATAGTATATAACATAACCTTTGATTTGATATATGTTTAAAGGACGCAGTATTTCCGGAACATTTTCAAAAGTTCAGTTGAAAAAGATCTATGTTTTTTACAATATTTTAAGTTTTGAACGCCCCCTATATAAGGGGAAATTGTCCAATTTTAATAAAAAGTATGTCAAATGAAAGATGTACTTATAATGTATTTAGAAAAAAAAAATTTGTGCTGATATATACATTTTTCAAAAAGTTATAGCATTTTTAAGTTGAAAATTTAAAATCGAAAATCGAAAATTTTAACACAAAAATAGTGTTTTTTTAACTACGGCAGCCGTTTAAATGTAGAAAAAAAAGTGTCGGGACAAATTTTTTTTTTTCATTTTGTAGTACATAAAATAAGCTTTAATTTGATATATGTTTAAAGGACGCAGTCTTTCCGGAACATTTTCAAAAATTAAGTTGAAAAAATTAATTTTTGTAAAAAAGTTGCCATTTTAAATCCCCCCCAATGAGCAGGTTAAGTGATAGATTTTCAAAAAAATGATATCAAATGAAAGGTAAATATCTAAGGTTTTAGTATAAAAAAAAATTATGTTGATTTGTTGATTTTTCAAAAAGTTATGGAAGTTTTAAGAAAAAAAAGTGAAAAAATTTCGAAAATTAGCGATTTTTAAATTTGTAATTTTTTTGGATATTTCCCCCATTTGCGGGGAACGAGGGAATTTTTTTCAATTTTTAAGGGTAATGTCTTCAACTAGATACGATTTGTGATCTTTTGACGTATTTTTGAAAGAAATCGGTCCAGTGAGAGCTGAGAAAAAGTGGCAACAGACATAAAAAAAAAAAAAAACACATCATAGTAAAATTAATACCTTCTCCGCTTCGCATCGAAGCTAATAATTATAGTTAAAAAAAAACATATTTGTCTTGTTTTTTTTTAGAATCATGAATAATTCTCAACAAATTCGCGAGTTCTTGAACTCAACTTTGGTGAGCTCTATTGATGATGACTTTTCAAATAATTCTATTATTCCTTCTAACTTAGAGAATACAACTCAATCAAAAATAAATTTAGAAAAAAATCCAGCATTTACCGTCTCTACTGTTAAACTGTTAAATACTGTTAAAAGAAAATTATTGAGTGATTCTGGTGATTATACTTTGTTTCCTCACGATGGGAAAAGTAGTGTATGGAAGAAATTTAAAAGTGTTATGACAACATTTTTGTCGTATCTGGTTTAATTTAATCCGGACAGAGTTTTTTTATTTAATGGTTCGGTTCGGTCTAGAATTTTTTTTATTTTAAAGTCCGGTTCAGTTCGATCCATTTAAAATTTCTATCTGGTCTGGTCCAATTTAAATTTCATATAACAGTTCAGTCCAGTCTTTTTTTTAGTTTTTCTGTACGGTTCGGTCCGGTCCTTGAAAATTCGGGCCATGTAGAACTCTACAAACTTGATTGTATAGGTTCTGTTATATATTTGTAAATCTAGAAAATATGTCAAACTGAATGCCACTGACCTATATTTTTGAGATTATGTATGATTGAAATTCAAACTTGATATGATCTAATATGAAAATTATAAAACTATTTTCTTAAATGACATAAATTGCAAAATTTATAAACGATTTAATTATATTTATAACAAAATTAAACAATAAATAAATTGGCTATATAACAAATGTTCAAATTCTCGAATAATAATTTATTATTTAAAAATAAGTAATAAAATGTACAAAAATTGAATAAACGACAAAATGACACAAAACAGGAACAGACGGATATACATATTTGTATTGAATGTATTCTACTAAAGAGCAATTATCATTTTTCTTTTTGAATTTTTAACTTAACGAATATTTCCTGTTACATGGTATAATGGTGATATATTTGAAAAAAGCTGTTTGAAGTCATATAATTATAATAATTCCAAAATATAAATGTTTACTCAGGATAATAACCTAAATACTTATGTCATAAATGGCAATGAAAATTGCTCTAGTGAATATATCCAAGGTACATCCGTATGGAAGTAAAATTATTATTTTTTACCACATACATAATAATATAGTGTCGTTTATAATAAATATTTAATATATAATTACATTATACAAATAATAACTAGGTACATAATATGTTTTAACATAGACTTAACAATTAACAATATATACTATTACTTAATTTTATAAATAGGTATACACATTTGAAAATTAAAATATGACACGATATAATATCATCATAATAATAACTATTTTTTTTACTATAATATAATATCGTCAATCCTTGTACTAAAACACAGCCTTTTTAGTTACTTAGCTATTAAATGTAGTATTGTCTTGGCTCGAGCTTTTATAGTTTACAATTTTATGTTTTTTTTATTCAATCAACTAAAAGCTCTTCAAAAAAAATATTCGAATTTTTTTTTCGTAGAACTAGTTCGTTACTATCATTTTATTTTGCAAAGCAAGTTCATATTCTAATTCATATCTAAGAAGTATTTAATTTGTGCTCATTTTTTGTTTGTTTTTTAATAAGACAACTATTAATAACTTATGTCACTTTACGATCATAATAGTAAAATTCCAACTAATAAATACTAAACAAAATATATCCAGTCCATATTTTTTATTATTTTATCTCGTTGAAATAATATAGAGAATATGGTAAATATTATTTAATTATTGTGGAAAATTTATAAATAGTACAAAAGTAAAATTAAATTTAAAAACTGTTACAGAGTTTTATAGCTATAAAAAATCTTTTATCATCTTTTTATTGTTAACACACTTTTCAAATACAACTATGAATAATTAGGAAGGAACGTTTCGACTAAAGAACTTAGTAACCATAATATTGTTCAAATTACTTAGCACTTTTAAAATAATAATAATTGGTCAATCGGTGGATATTTTTAAGCCGAATAATTTATTTAACTATTTAAAAGTGTACTTAGAAGAATTTTATTTAATAATGGATAAAAAAATTAATTAAAACTCAACAGGTCGTCAAATAATTTTCAGTTTTTTTGTCATAATATTTTAGAAATGAGGAAGAACAAACAAAATTCGATTCCATTTTTCACAATTTCATTATCCCTTAACTTAATTATACGTACAAAACCTTTTTTATCACACTTTTCATTTTGAAAATTTAGTATTACTTAATAATTTGTAATAATAATTTTATCCAAAATTACATTTTACTTCAAAAACATGGCTTATCACACAATAGCATTTGTTTTCCTTGAACTAACCTAATGTTCTGGGGACGAAGGTTTAGAGTTTGAACGAGATGAAGGCTTAGAATTTGTAGGGGACATTGTTCTTTCGCTGGAAGTTGTCTGTGGTGGCGTTTCAGGTCGCATCAAAGCTGTATTTTCATTGTTTTCATTGTTATGACTGCTGATGTCTTGTAGATGATGACCATCTCGTTTTCTATCCTCTAATTCTTCTTCCCCGTCCGTATCTTCTTTATACGTACTCGTTTCGGCAGCTGAAGGTATTGTGGCCAAAAATCGAACGGTTAACTTTCCTGTAGGAGAGCAACCCCCCCCGCAAGCAGTTATTCCACCGGCTACTATCAGCTCAGCTGCTGTTAACACGGGATCGTCCAAAACGGCACTTTGTCTAGTGAGTCTTGGTTTTTGTTTGCTACTGTGGTGGTGACTGTAGCTGTGTTCACTACTTCCACCGACGCTACTTCTAGATGCTCTGGTGCTTATACTAGTACTGGCAGTGTTAGCAGAACCGGAACTGTCATTCCGTGAGCTTGATAGGTTCGAATCTTGTGATGTCTTTCTCGTTACTATCCAAGAACTAGCTCGTCGCTGTTTGGGATCTAACAGTCGTAGAGGAACACCACCACAGTGATGATGATGATGGTGATGATGGTGGTTATGCCGCCAAGAATCAGATCGCGATGAACTGTAGTTTTCACTGGATGACATAGATGAAGCACGCTTATGTTGTTTTTGCTGAATTTCGGCTATTTGATAGGCATAGCGATCACTTCTCATGTACTGCCTGCCAGATTCCGTTTGACGAGGATTCACGCATGACATAAATCGTTGGAATTTGATCGACATCCAGTCGTAAATTGTTTCTTCAGTTTTTACAGACTTATCATCAAGCAACTTGACGTTGCAACTGCAAGGTGGGTGTGGATAATTATCTCGAGATGACCTGTCCACCAGACTGTTTGTATTAGCTGGGGTCTGACGATTGCTGAAGTTGGAACTATGCCGACAGCGGCCGATTCCTCGAGTAACACGTGATTCTTCAATTGCTTTGCATATCATTACGCAGTCTTTTTTAAACTGTTTTGTTAAAATAGCATATAAAAAGGGATTACAACACGAATTAAGTGGTAGAACAAACACTGTAAATACTTTTGCTTGTTCAAGAGATACTAATCGGTAACCTGCTATAGCCGTTAATGACACAAAAGCTATAGGAGCCCAACATAACAGATCTGTAAATACTAATAATGCCATACGTTTAGCTATACGTGAATCATTAGAATTCCACGCTTGGGAGCCACGAATAGCACAATACATCTTCAAATAACATCCCATCAGAATAAAAAATGCCACACCGTTGATGAACATTAAAAATACGACGTAAACTAAACTCCACGTACTGGTGGTGGTCTCAAATGGAAGACAAGTAGCGAACTTACGATAGTCAGACACACCGAACAATGGCAAAGCAGCCATAATACCTGCGAATATCCAACCACATAGCATTATATATGAGGCATGTTTTAGTGACAATCGTTTATTAAGATGCATAGCATGTGTAATGGCATAATTTCGTTCTAATGTAATCACTGCAAGAGTATACACAGATAGCTCCGAACTAAGTACTGCTAGCACTCCAGCTAATTGACAGCCAACAGACATTTGCCAAGGTATAGCAAAAATTTTAAATTCTCCTAGTGTACCAGCATCTACTACGGCCAATATCCCTGTAATATTCACGAAGTTAATTTTATAAAATTTTGACTTATAAAATGATAACAATTAAAAAAAACTTTTTATTTACCAAGGTATAGTCCCATAAAAAAATCAGCGGCTGCGAGGTTACACACGAGAAATCGAGGTACATCAATTTTACTTCTAGCAAATATAAGCACAAATACTACTGTACCATTTCCTAGCATTGCTAATAAGAATACTACCCAAACTCCACATCGTAAAGTCCACCAATCGAATAAGTCTTGACATGGCAAAAATGGCCCTACAAATATAACAAATTTTTTTCGTGAGCAATTACAGACATTGATATTTTATTGATGGCTATCTCATTAAGACTGATAATAATAACTGTTGAGTAAAATTTATTTAATATCTATGTTACTTAAATAAATAATTTTTATACAACAAAGTAATGTTATTCAACTATCTTTATAAAAACACATATATGTTTTTAGTAAATCTGTGTTATGTTTTTTAGAACAAATTTTAAAATGAAATATAAATTTTGAATGGTATAAAAATATTACTATTCAAACAAGTACATAATGAATTTAATTTAAAATTATTTTTAATTTTTTAAAAATAACATATTCATAATGTTGCACAATATTTACACATTATAAATTTTAATTGGTATACAAAGAAAAATATTATTAATTTACCTGGTAGTGGCAAACATTTTACTTTTGATGATATTATTTCTGGTAATTTTCCGTCTAGTTGTTCTTCAAAGTATTCTTCCATATACGCCGGCAAGTTTCCTGGATATGTAAAATCTGTACCAAATGAGTCCCAAAGATCATTCACTTGAGTGCCAAACTTTTTGCTTAAATTTTCTTAAATTTAAAAATAATAATAAAAGTTAAATTTTTAGAGTTAACGGCTAAAATGGCACAATAACCATAAATATACTTTATACACTTGAATAATCAGAAATAAATACAGGTTCAACAACAATTATTATAAAATAAAAAGGGTCTCATTGAACGACTTTAGCTCCATAATTAAGTGTCAAATACAGACAAGTGTCATGGCAATAAATTTGAACAATACAAAATTATTATAATAATAGTGTAAAAAGTTATTTTCCATTTAATTACTTGTACAAATTATAAAACAAAGAAATTAACTGCTTGATACTTTTTAGACAAAATATTTATAGTATAATTAGTATCAGAAATTCGTGATTATGGAAAGTAAAAATAATTAAGAGACCCTTGAGGCTTCTAAAAACATTATAAAATCACCACTAAAATCGTTTAAATAAAAACTGTAACGGAAATTGTTTTTAACTACCTTCTAGAATTAGTATAGTTAAAAATAAAATCTATCTGAAATTTTTAGCTTCGATGCGAAGCTGAGAAGGTATTAATTTTACCATGATGTGTTTATTTTTTTTTTTATTTTTTTTTTTTTTTGTGTCTGTCACTACTTTTTCTCAGCTCTCACTGGACCGATTTCTTTTAACAATACGTCAAAAGATCACAAATTGTATCTAGTTGAAGACATTACCCTTAAAAATTTAAAAATTTTCCCTCGTTCCCCGCAAATGGGGGAAATATCCAAAAAAATTACAAATTTAAAAATCGACAAATTTTGTCATTTTTTTCACTTTTTTTTCTTAAAACTTCCATAACTTTTTCAAAAATCAACAAATCAACATAATTTTTTTTTAAACTAAAACCTTAGATATTTTCCTTTCATTTGATATAATTTTTTTGAAAATTTAACACTTAACCTGCTCATGGGGGGGGATTTAAAATTGCAACTTTTTTACAAAAACTAACTTTTTCAACTTAATTTTTGAAAATGTTCCGGAAATACTGCGTCCTTTAAACATATATCAAATTAAAGCTTATTTTATGTACTATAAAATGAAAAAAAAAAATTTGTCCCGACACTTTATCTTCTGCATGTAAACGGTTGCCGTAGTTAAAAAAACACTATTTTTGTGTTAAAATTTTCGATTTTCAATTTTTAATTTTCAACTTAAAAATGCTATAACTTTTCGAAAAATGCATGTATCAGCACAATTTTTTTTTTTCTAAATACATTATAAGTACATCTTCCATTTGACATACTTTTTATTAAAATTAGACAATTTCCCCTTATATAGGGGGGGTTCAAACTTTGAAACATTGTATAAAAAATAGAACTTTTTCAACTGAACTTTTGAAAATGTTCCGGAAATACTGCGTCCTTTAAACATATATCAAATTAAAGCTTTTTTTATGTACTATAAAATGAAAAAAAAAAATTTGTCCCGACACCTTATCTTCTATGTGCAAATGGCTGTCGAAATTATAAAAAAAATGTAATATTTGCGATAAAAATCACCTTTTATAACGATGTTTTTTGTACTTAAAACTGCCATAACTTTTTCAAATATTAACTAATCAAAATAATATTTCTTTATATTGAAACCTTAGGTAATTTTCTTTCATTTGATATCATTTTTTTTTGAAAATCTAACACTTATTCTGCTCACAGGGGGGATTTAAAATAGCAACTTTTTTACAAAAACTAACTTTTTCAACTTAATTTTTGAAAATGTTCCGGAAATACTGCGTCCTTTAAACATATATCAAATTAAAGCTTATTTTATGTACTACTAAATGAAAAAAAAAAATTTGTCCCGACGACCTATCTTCTATGCGCAAAAGGCTACCGTATTTAAAAATATGCTATTTTTTATTAAAATTCTAGGTTTTGTATTTTATTTTATTTTAAAATATTTTATTAGGGGAATAAACTGACTTTCATGAATATTATATAATTTCATTGACATAGAATAAAGTTCATAAGACATATGATATTATACTTATTAACATTTTTTACTTTTTTAAAGTCGAAAAAGTAATTTTTAAATTTGAGTTAGCTTAAATAGCCAATTTTATCATGCAACAAAAATCAACGAATAGTTGCCGAATGGGTAACACCTTGATCTTTAACGCCTAGGGTACGAGGTTCAAATCCGTTTGTGGCTTCTAAAATTTTGCATTTTTTTTTTGAGTTAGAATAGAATTTTCAAATCATTTGATATTTATCTCATTTAGATTCAATAATTTCAATAAATATAAAGGATCTTATCACTATAGTCTCCCCTCGTGAGAAGAAATTGATATTCATGTTAATATTATTTTACTATGTGGTTCTTTTTCTGGCTACGATTTATTTTGCCAACCCTCACTAGACCTACTTTTTTCAACGATACGTCAAATGATTCATTTAAGTTTATGATATTTAAGTTAATGATTAGTTTAAGTTATTACTCTTAAAAATCAAAAAAATATTCCTTATTCAAATAAAAAGTAGCTTAACTAGATTTGTCCATACAAACAATTAAAATCATTAATTTTTAATATTCTTAAATTATTTATTGTCGAATTAAATTTGATATGATAAAAGTATTCAACTACAAAAGTAAATAATTTTACTTTATAATTTATTAATTTTTTAACTCTATTTCTGTGTGCTACTACCAGTCTATAATATGCCAAATTTTTTAGTAATATTTTGCTATATAAATCATAAATTTAAAAAAAAAATGATTTTTAGTTTCACCTGAAGTTAACGATGGAGTTTTACAATTATAATTATATTTTTGATAATATGCTCAATTGAGTAAATCTTTTTAACTACTTTGGTTTGATTGGTTCATTTAATTAAAGTAAATTATTAAAATTAATTAAGTTCTGAATATTTCAATTGCAGAATTTTTTTAAACACCAAAAGTTATTAGGATATGATTACTATTCTTTCTATTTCAGTTATCTATTACGATAAAAATGTAAAAAAATCGAATTTTTCTGACAAATGTACTGTAATTAGTAATTATAAAATTTCCAGATTGCATATTAATCTTAAAAATTTCATTTTTTTCAATTTAATAATGTCAATTTCAAACTTGCAAGTTGAACTATAAGTTATGGTAACAAATTCATTTTTTAGCTTCGATGCGAAGCTGAGAAGGTATTTTTCATTAAAACTTTCACTTTAAAAGACAATAAAAAATAGGTTCAAAATGATTACCTTTAACATATTAAAAATCAAAATCAGTATTAATTTAATACAATTTTTTTTGTTCTTAATTATTTTTTTTTATATGTAAATACTTATTTTTTAATAATAAGTAATAATATTAAAACTTAGAAGTAATAGAAAAAGTTTAATTGCACATTTGAAAACATCACGAAAAGTTTATTTAGAAAAGTATATTTTTTTTCTGATGAAAGTTCCTTTTGTTTAGTGTATTTATTCATAAGTAACAAAATTTTTTTATTAAAAAGTATTGCATAAATTCCTTTAAATTTGTATACGCATTAAAAGTATATGAATATACAACTCCTTTTTATTTTTATAATATCTCCGTAAAAATTACAATATTATATTATTGAATACCACTTTCATACTCAATTTAATTACTGTAATTATTATGTATTCATATATTATAGTTATAAATCGGGGTAAAATTAAGGGAATAAGTGTTATTGTTGTTTTTGAAATAATCTACCAATTTAATTTTTTTCTATTTAATAATATTTATTTCAAACTTGCAAGTTGAGTTAAAAGTTATGGTAATAAATTCATTTTTTTTTTATTAAAACTTTCACTTTAAAGAACAAAAAGAAGTAGGTTCAAAATGATTACTTTTAACATATTAAAAATCAATAATAATTTGAAAATAATTAATTATAAAAATTATATAATATATAATTAAAATAATTACTAATCTGGATATAATTAAGGAAATAGGAGTTGATGTTGGGTTGGGTTGGTTACATTTTTAACTTTATAATGCTATAACTCATTGAAAAGTGTACGAATCATCACAATTTTTTTATGAGAAATAATATTTTTTAATAATCTTTAATTAAATTAAAGCTTATGTTAAATATTATTATTATTAAATGTTTGTTTTTTTTTTAATATTTATTATTTTTATATTACTGTTTTTCTTTTTTTTTTGTTTGTTTGTTTTGTTTTTGTTTCATTTTCTGTAACTATATTTTTGTGTAATAAGGATCAATCCCGTTAAATATATAAATAAATAAATATACTTTATTATGGAAAAAAAAATTTAGGACTTTATTTTGTTTTCATGATAAACGGACATTAAAATTAATAATTAAAAATACGAATTTTGTAAAAAAATTCTTTTTTATGTTTAACTTTATAACGCTATAACTTTTTGAAAAATGTATAGACCATAATGATTTTTTGCAGATAAGTACTCTTTATATTCTTCTTTTAGCTTCGATGCGAAGCTGAGAAGGTATTGGTTTTACTAAGATGTGTTTTTTTTTTTTTTTTTTTTTTTTTTTTT